CTGGGGGAGTGCGCTGGAGCCGCCCGGGATGGGGATGGGGGTGGGGAGCGGCAGGGTCGGGCGGAGGGACGGGAGGGGCAGTCGAAGCGCCAAGGCTCCTTGGGGAAGTGAGGGGAATAGGAGGGGCCCCGGGGCCGGGAGGCGGGGGCGGTGTGTAGCGGGATGGGGGCGAAAACGCCCGGGTGCTGGGGTTCCCAGAAACAAGGGGAGTAGAGCAAAAGAACGGGCGGGGGCCATGCTGTGTGTAACAGGCAGACGGATGGGGCTCCTGGAAGAGGTGAAGAAGAGAAGGAGAGATGCCAGATGTACACAGAAAGGAGGGGAAAGTGGGCTTGGGAGAGGTGCTGTGGGAAGCGGAGTCCCGGGGCCTGGTGCGCATAACGGGGTTTGGGAGAAGGCCCCTGATGGGTACAGAAAGAAGTAACGATGTCACCGCCATATATAGGGGCGGGGGAGAAAAGGGGGCCCTTGGGGAGAATGTAGCAGGTAGCCAGGTTGGGAGGGCGGGGTATACAGAAGGAAGGCATTTGAGTCATCTTGGGGTGTATAGATGTAGTGAGACGATGGGTTCCGCAGTGAGTAGAGGTGGCTAGACTTCGAGGTGCTAAGTGTAGGAACAGGATGGAAAAGCCCTAGTGAAATGTGGGGAATTGGGTTAGTGGGGCTCTGGGGAGGTACCTAGAGAGGAAGTGAGGGAGGCCACGGAATATGAAGGTGGGGAGGCCCTGTGGCATGTAGTGGGGATGGAGCCCCAGGAGGGCCTGGAAGCCGATGCGGGGGCTGGTTGGGCGGGGGGTGCGGCAGAGGGAGGGGAAGCAACCTGAACTGGGGCTGGGCAACAGGGAAAGAAGAAACCACAGATTAGAGAAATCTAGGCGATCAGCAGGGCCGGGGTGTGAGATGTAAAGAGGTAAACAGATTGAGGGATTGATTGCTGGGGTGGGTTGAGAGAAGAAAAGGGAAGAAAAGTCGGGGGACTACGCCCTCAGACCTGACCTGGGTGCTGAGAGGTGGATCCAGGAGTGGCAAGTGGTGGCGGGGTTTTGCAGAGCTCAATTGGATGTCCTCTCCGAGGCAGCTTGATGGAACGTGGGAGAGCTGGGCTGGAGTGAGTTGTTATTTTGCTGGGGAGGTGGTCAGTGGCGCACAAAGGGTAACAAGCAGCGATAGTGGGGACGCTTTCCATTTTAGGAAGCTTTTCCTAAAAGGAAGTGGCAATTTTAACTAATCTCCCCTCCGCCGCTCCCAGCTGCCGCTCCAGATGCTGCTGCTGCCGCCGCGGCCACCCCACCCTCGGTCCTCCTCTCCGGAGGCCATGGACCCACCGCCCCCCAAGGCTCCCCCTTTCCCCAAGGCGGAAGGCCCCTCCTCCACTCCTTCCTCGGCGGCGGGGCCCCGACCCCCGCGGCTGGGCCGCCACCTCCTCATCGACGCCAATGGGGTCCCCTACACATACACGGTGCAGCTGGAGGAGGAGCCCCGGGGCCCGCCCCAGCGCGAGGCGCCCCCAGGAGAGCCCGGCCCTCGCAAGGGCTACAGCTGCCCGGAGTGCGCCCGTGTCTTTGCCAGCCCTCTGCGGCTGCAGAGCCACCGCGTGTCGCACTCGGACCTCAAGCCCTTCACGTGCGGCGCCTGCGGCAAGGCCTTCAAGCGCTCCAGCCACCTGTCGCGGCATCGCGCCACGCACCGCGCCCGCGCCGGGCCGCCGCACACCTGCCCGCTCTGCCCACGCCGCTTCCAAGACCCCGCGGAGCTGGCGCAGCACGTGCGCCTCCACTAAGCTCGAGACCCGACTTGAGCTGCCCTGCCCCTCTCAGGGCCACGAAGTCTGACCCACACAGCGTCACTCACTCCCACACACACTCCCTGGCTCCGCTGAGGTTACTGCCTTACCCTGGGCCTCAGTTTCCCCACCTTCCAAAGGGAGGAGCATCATTCTTTCCTTACCCCCTTTATAGCTGTGTGATGTAGACCAAAGTCGTTGCCCCTCCCTGGGCCTGGGAACCAGTCGGAACTGGGTTCCGGTCCAGCTGTGCTGTGTGAGCCTTTGCAAGTGACATGACCTCTCTAAACCTTGGTTTTCTGCTCTCTGGAGCGGTGAACCGGTGGTTGTCTGCGGGGAAGAGATGATAAAGAGCACGGGCACGGTCTGGTTCATTTCTGTATCTACCCCCATTCCGCCCACGTCCCCTACCCTTTGCTCAATAAACATTCCGCACTTCATTTTCAAGCTCTTCCTTGCGTGTACGTGCGCGTTGGGTGCTGGGGGGTGGAGACCGGATCTTCCTCGCTTGGGTACTTTCCTCTCGGTGTGTGTTTCTGGCCGGAGCCGTTTCGCGACGGCCCGGGCGCCCCGCCCCCACCTTCCTTCCCTAGACCCTTTCCTCTCCCTTCGGCTTCTCTCTTTCGGCCGGCGCCGCCAGCTCCTGGGGCACACCCAGAGGTCCCCTTCCCGCCGCCGCCTGCAACTGCGAGGGTAGCCCGGGGCCGCTTGGAGTCGCCCGGACCTGAGAGGCTGCTGCACTGGGTACGGGGGCCGGGAGGAGGGAGGGGGCTGGGAGCGGGCGGCGGGAGGGGCTGGACCGCGTGGAGGGTACCTGGGCCGGGGCGGGAGTGGGGCAGGCGCCGGAGGAGGCTCTTCTGGAGCTTGCAGGGGGCGAGAACTTACACAGAAAGGCCCAGGAAGCGAGGGCTGTGGCCCCGGGGGTGGAACCCCGAGAGCGCTGGGACCTAGAACGAGCCTGGTGGTGGCCGGGCGAGCACTAGAGAGAGCCTGAGGTGGGTGGACGGGTGGGAGCACGGAGTTTTTCAGACATGTCGCTGGAGAGAGGGCCAGAACCTGGGGGTCCTCACGTCGGAGCCCCTGTGAATGGGTTTGGCTTGTATGGAGGCGGTCAGGAAAGGCTTGAGTATGTAGGATGGGCCAACACGCAGACCCTGGAAAGGGCTAGAAGGAGGGGAGGGAGAGGCCTGGAGACCTGCGGGGTGGGGCACCCACTGACCTGGGAGGCCACAAAGAGGAAAGTTAGAGCGAGGTCCAGGTTGTGCAGAGCAGGTCAAGAGATCCTGTGAGTACAGTGTGTGGTGGAGCACCGAGGCTAGGAGAGCTTTTCCAAGGAGGGAAACCCTGGGGACCTTTTAGGGGGTCACAGAGTCCAGCTGTGAGTGGGACTGGAGAAGAGGGACTGAGGCAGCAGGATGTAGAGGTCTTGGGCCGTTTAAAGGGAGGGAAAAGGATGGAGCCTGCGGTGCTGAGTTGCCCTCTTCTATATAACCTTATCCCATCTCCCATCCACCAGGCCTCAGCCAGCCCTCCGGATGCTGGTGCTGCCATCCCCCTGCCCTCAGCCTCTGGCATTTTCCTCCGTTGAGACCATGGAGGGCCCTCCCCGTCGGACATGCCGCTCCCCAGAACCTGGACCTTCCTCCTCCATCGGATCTCCCCAGGCTTCATCTCCTCCAAGGCCCAACCACTACCTGCTCATTGACACTCAGGGTGTCCCCTACACAGTGCTGGTGGACGAGGAGTCACAGAGGGAGCCAGGGGCCAATGGGGCTTCAGGCCAGAAAAAGTGCTACAGCTGCCCCGTGTGCTCAAGGGTCTTCGAATACATGTCCTACCTTCAGCGACACAGCATCACCCACTCGGAGGTAAAGCCCTTTGAGTGCGACATCTGTGGGAAGGCATTCAAGCGCGCCAGCCACTTGGCACGGCACCATTCCATTCACCTGGCGGGTGGTGGGCGGCCCCACGGCTGCCCGCTCTGCCCTCGCCGCTTCCGGGATGCGGGTGAGCTGGCCCAGCACAGCCGGGTGCACTCTGGGGAACGCCCATTTCAGTGTCCACACTGCCCTCGCCGCTTTATGGAGCAGAACACGCTGCAGAAGCACACGCGCTGGAAGCATCCGTGAGCTGGGCTGCCGGGTGCCCCAGGTACCACAGGACTTTGCAGGGAGCCTGGACTCCTGTCCAGACACCTGGTGAGAGCCCGAGGCTGGTGTTCAGGCCCCCGGACACAGACACAGAGCAGCCGCATCTCAAAGGCAGAGCCCTGCCTGAAGGAGGAATCCGTGAGTAATCTTCAGGTCCTCCGTGTTGTGGAGCTGAGATGGGAATGAGCTCCTA